AATGATTCTTAACTAGAAAGTCGCTGTCACTTAGTGAACTATTGGTGAGGCAGTTATAATTGTAAATCTAAAGCACTAACTAAAGTGCGTAGACTGTATATTAAGATGGAGAAGTTATGCAAAGTTTAAACTAAATGGAACATGTGTAATAACATTCCCGAACAACTGATGGTAACCTCAAGATGTTTGATTAAAACTTGAGAAGTAGAATGGTGGAAAGTACTTCATGATAATTGAACATGGCAGAAATTCATGAAGTCATTGACGGGTGGACTGAGTCATGTTGGTAGATACAGACTACCTGGTTTGGGTCCGCGAGACAATAGTAACTGATGGTTAGAGACGAACGACATGGTTCAGAATCTTTTGCAATGGCGCAGCTGCATCCACTCATTGTGTTCTAAGAAATTCTAACATTCCAAATTCATCATCACCTCTACCTTCCTCCTTCTAAACTTATTTCACTGAATAATAATTGTTGAATATTATCTTGGAACCCTAATCTTCTTCATTACCAGTAAAATACCTCTACTATCTCTACCATTATGGGATTTGAACTGACGATTGTGTCTCTGTGATAATGTGGTGTCGCAACCTAAATTTAGGTACTTACGTACGAAGTTCTAGGTTGTAACTGACTGACTATTCACAAATATTATTATTAAAGAGCTCGCAACTTTTTGAGAAATTTATTTATCATCCAGCCCTATTCACTAATTCATGTTATTGTACATTGTACCTTACTCCTTCTTGGTAATAACAACAACATTATCTCTCTCACCTCATGTAAACCCTATTTATTTTAATTATTAATCTCACAATTTCATTTTACATATAAACGTATCCAATTTAACGCTTAATATTAGTCATCCGAACATTAACGATTTATTTTGCGAATAATCCTAAATTCACATTCTATAATTTTAAATGGTATATTTTGCCTTAAGCCTGGTCACTTTTTGGATTATTAATTTGGATATGTAGCTATAGAACCTGAAAAGAATTTATTGAAAAGAATATTCCGCATTCATATATTTGATCAATTCATCGAGGCGTAATATTAAGTTACACGAGTATTTCGCAAATACCGTCCATGAATGTCTACTTGTTCGTAAACTCATCTGACAGTTAATTAATTACCTGATAGCAACTTTGTAAAAATATTGATTTTTTTTAAAGCAGTACCAAATCGATATGTCAAATAAGAATAATTGTTATTATATTTTGTTTATCCTAGAAGAATATAATCAATCATCATTATTATCCGATTCAATGCACGGTCGTTATTATCATTTATTTGTAATGGGAGAATTGGAAGATCTAATATCCAATGTACCTTGTTTAAACATTGACAAATCTTTCTATGAACAAGGAAATTGGGTTGTACATGTGACAAGAATTGTGTGAAATAAAATATTGTAAATTTGTATCAATTTATTTATGCTAATAACTACTACTAATGTAAGAATATTCTCCAGTTATTTGAACTTGTTCATTAACATTGAACAGAATAATAGTGATTGGTTTATTTTTGTAGAACTGTGTAGTTTTTCCCTAATTATTTCATTGTATAAAAATTCTAATACAGTATGAGAATAAAAAGCAAAAATATGATAGAAAGAAGCAGATGAATCGTAACTGGTTTCCATTCTGAGCCATACGTGATCACATTTCAAGTTCACTGAGTTGCACTACCTCTGATAACTCGACTGTGTGGTCGTAACAGGCTAATAGGTGGCAATCTTAAACAAGCCACTTCTGTGCTATTCCATCAAACCGACTACCCTTCCGCTCTTTTTACCCAGTCACAGAGTCAGCAAACAGTATGCAATATTTGAGTCGCTGAAATGACATTCCCAAGACATGTTCAGACCATAGAATTGTTGTTGAGGAGGTCTCAACCCCGAAAGAAACTGCTTTATAGTTATTTCATCTTTTCACTAACTATTTAACCTAAATCGGTTCGTTATTTCAGTGAAATTTAACATTCTCCACAGCCCCCATATCGAAAGCTATCGTTACTGCATCCATACTTACGTAACCGAACCTCTGTATTACGAATGTAATGTTGCTACTGAATATAAGTAATTCTTCAAAGGTAGTAATGATTGAACAAAAAGTCACCGAACATGCTGGACTGAGGGAATAGATTTCACAGTCTTTGAGCCGGAGCATCTTCACCGATGAACTGTACGCCAGGCCTTTTACTACCACATGTTCAAGATGGATATATATATTCATTTAAAATTGGTTTGTTGAAAGAGTTGGTTTTAATTCGTACTTTTGATAATGGTAATAATAATGATTATGGTGTGTCTGAAGTCCACACAAAATGAAATATTATAAATATACCAATTGGTTGTACGATCTATTCTACAGATATTACACGGTGGTCAAGGCGTAGGTAATATTGGATCAATTCTATTTCTAACCTAAATTTCATCATAAATGTCTTGATCGTATGATGATGATATATATATTATGTAAAGAATTAATAGTCTTTGAAAGCTAACTACATTAAACTGACTTAACAATAGAATAGAATTGATCTTGACGGATATTATACTAATCTGGGATTTGTAAGTGGCGCAGATCGACGAAGAAAGAGCAGAATTTCCACAAATGAAGATCATTCGGAACTCAAAGCAACCGTCAATGAACACCAACGTCACAATTTTCAATGTGAATATCAAGACAGTTCTGTATGCAGTAGAAACTTGAAAAACTACAAAATCAATCATCCGCAAGATAGAGGTGTTGATTAACAGTTGTCGACGTACGATACTGCGCACCTGATAAACAGACATCATCAGCAACCATTTACTGTGTGATAGAGCAAAGCAGATTCCTGCTGGAGGAGAAATCAAGAAGAAGCGCTGGTGGTGAATAAGACACAAGTTTCAAAAGTCACGAGGCGGGCTCTAACTTGGAACCCTCAAGGCTAAAGGGTAAGAGATAGACCAAAGAACACACCGAACCGACAGTTAGGGATAGACATGAGAAGAATGAATAATAATTGGGTAGAACCAGAAAAGGAGGCCCAGGACAGGGTCGAGCGGAGGGTGCCGGTCGGCGGTCTATGCTCCATTAGGGGTAACAGACGTAAGTAAGTAAGGATCTATAAATGATACTAAAAAAATCCCCCTGGTTTTTATGCGGAAAATCAAAAGTAAATGGTCTTTTATATAATCTTAAAGAAGAAATAAGTGAAGAACAATTAGAAAATTCGTGCATGCACAAAATAACGTTATATGCTTGTTACGATCGATCATCTTCATACTATCTTTATTGGTTGTTACCATGGAAAGAAGTTGACAATGAGTATGTCATAGATTCAATATTTCCGAAAGCACAAATCATAACTGTTATATAATGCATGAAAAGAATAACTCATAAGAACGAATTTTATTTGATTCAAACAAAGTATGTTTATAGGGGTACGGATTGGTTGGAAGAAGGCTAGGTAGGCCAAACGAAAACATAGCACAAATCTATAAAGTCACTGACAACTGGAGTGAGCCATGTTATTAGGTGAAGGCTACCTGGTTATGGTCCGCGAGGTGATAGTAACCGGCGTTTAGAGACTTTGGATAACATGGCTCAAAATAGTTTAAAATGGCGCAGGTGCATGCATTCCTTGTGTTCTCTCAAATTCCGATCTTCTGAATTCCTCGTGACTTTTTTTCTATTTATAAATATACCTCACTGAATTATACTTCTTGGATCATATCGTCGAACCCTAATCTTTTCCATTACCGCTAATACATGTACTACCTTTGCTACTATGTGATTTGAATTGACAAACTGATCTCTCTATGCTTATGTGGTATGACTGCTAGAACTGAAATGTCAAATGAAAGCTTGTCGATGATAAAGTTAAATACGAATGGGGACAGTAGACAACCCTGGCGAATACCACTCTAAGTAATCGATCCCCATGACAGTTCGCCATAAATTGTCACTCGACCAGTAGTGTTCGAGTAGAAAGCCTACCATGGAACCTCACTGATCAACAAAGCCGAACCCTAGACACTAATGGTTAAAATGATTCCTCTGTGACTTTTACAAGGGGATTTCAGTCAAATGTTGGCAAATTAATTCACTAATGTACATGGGAAAATTTTGAGTTTTTTTTTGTTAGTATTTTTATTTTTCGCTATTTAAGTATGTAGGAATAAGTCTGGCCAACTGAGACTTTAAAAACTTTATTTTATAAGGCCAAGATTACATTGATCTTCTCTCTTTTCAAATAATTCAATCTGTAGCAAGCAACAATGCACTTATCTCACTTTTGTTGCAGTTCGAAGAATTCATAGAAATTAATGAAAGTTGAATTTATCAGCTGTTTCGTTGTTGCACGTTATATTATACCCACATCATCCTCAATTCGGTTCATCTATGATCATCTGCATAGTGAATCTACGATCAATAAGCTGAAGAAACCATACATTTTTGGTATTTTTATGAGCACCGGAGATCAACGGTTGTCTTAACCCTAGCATAATAATACGTACATTTTTCGTAGCTTGATCCATTAAAAGAGTTAGTTTCCTCAAACACTTGATATAAACAATTCTCCGTATTTCATACTTTTCCTAGGTGTTTCCCAAGTTTCAATAATCTTTAAATATCCATCCCACTAGTTCACGCATTTGTTGTAACATCAATCAAACTCAATGTTATTTCAACGTAAAAGTGAGCTGATGGGTTATTCAGACTTTTGAAAACTATCACTACAAAATTACAAAGTCGTCACTGCTGACGCACACTTGCAGTCAATATGGAGAGAGGAAATCGACATCAAAAACACATGCCTCTTGATCTATTAAAATATTCCAATGATTTTAAGGAAATAATTAAATTTTTAGATAAAAAAATTGATGAGTTCATTATTAGTTTACAAATTATAATCAATTAAAATATAAATTTTTGTTAATTCATCATAATTTGTTAATAATAAAGGTATGTTAGGACAAAGTTGATTTGTATTATTAGGTGGCCATGATTCAATCCATGTAGCATTGATACAATTCATTTTATTGAATATTTCAATAGGTACAGTTGTCAATCGTAGACTTAATACTCTCGTAGTTTTAATTGAATTTCTTAAATTGTTTTGTTTGTTGTGATTATTGTTGATCAATAATTTAGTAGTATTTCGATGAATTAATAAACGTACAGAAGTGATAATTAATCCATTCTTGAATAATTCTTTCTCACCTGGCTTTATAATCTAAAGAATAATCATTAAAAACACTAACGTTATACTGTGAAAGCATGTACATTATAATTTGTTTAGTAGCATATAAGATTATACTTTCATTATTATTATTATCAACTATGTATTGTGTGTTCGATGTCAACATATACTATACATGTTGTAACTAGAACTAAAAATGAATATTATTATTATTATTATTATTATTATCAACTATGTATTGTGTGTTCGATGTCAACATATACTATACATGTTGTAACTAGAACTAAAAATGAATAGGAACTCTAAATGAAACCAACTCATTTCTCACAACAAGATATAAAACTATTGAGATCACAAACCTGAAAGCATTGAACAGCTATTTTCTTCCTAGTGTGATGGATGCTACTCACAAGTGGCATTTACATAGTATGCAGCGTAACGTTGCTACCAGAGAAGATGAGAATCAGGTGATCGCAATGCATGGTATAATCAAAATATATTGGAGAGATGTGAAAGAAATAAGACAGTCACTATCTTGCTTGAATTGTGAATATGGTTGGAAATTATGTTGACATATTTTGCTAGTGAATTCTGTCTTCTTCAAATATATATATATATATATATATATGTTCCATCTAGACTTGACTTATTTGTACGTCACACTAGTATAGGACTCACTAGGCTTAATACTTTGAAATAAACAAGCGAAGGTAAATAGCCTAAAAGTATGCCGGTAAATTATGTAGGATATCATTTCGAAATAAGAATTTTGGATTATTGCAAGAAATTGATCGATTCATATATTTATTGTGTGTGTATAAAAGAATATTTTCTAACATTAACAAGTTTTTAGAGCATTTTAATATCTAACTGGTATTCTGTTTTTAGATGAATATAATCGGGATCATGGTGTAGATACTGGTGGTTGTTTCCTTCATATACTTGACTGCAGTATATTTTCCTCTCAACTGTGCACTGTAGCAGGTATTACTATGCATTTTACGCAAGAATAATTCGAAATCAGAACACCGGTTGTTGGGGCTAGTGTGTAATCTTAACAAATAATGGAACCTATGAGATAAGATGGGGAAACATACCAGAGAATGGCTGAACAATAAGTGTATTTTGTGAATGTTAATCAATTGGTAGACAACGTTTATTGACTGTCTGTCTATGTTTACAATCAATTAGAGAATTAGGTACACTATTTACCTGCAGATATGTGCTTAATCATAATGACACAAATGGATAGATCATTTTAAAACATCAGATTCTATCGTTAGAACATCCTTTATTGATTATTAGGTCAGTTACTGTTTGGACTTGTTACTCTCATCTCTAGGTATACTTAAACTATTACGAGTTCACCTCAGTCGAATAATGAGAACAAAACAATGAACCAGCGTCCAGGTAGGCTACTGTGATCCCTAGACCAAATTGAATTAGTAAGAAGTCTTGATATAGCGTAGAAATTGTATTCTACAAACTCCCAGTCAGCACACAATGAGTCCATGCACTCAAACCGCGTTCATTTTTACTCTATAGAGACGCCCTTGGGACAGTCACAAAAATAGCACACTAAAATGACACAGTAGCCAATCACAGCGAAGGACTTTCCTGGTGGCAAATGTGATCTCAAGGTCAACTGAGTTCTAACTGAGATCTAACATCCCCAACAGGACTGTTATGATAACTGGAAATAAGCTAACAAATTTACTTGTATGTCATTCAATATAAATCAACAGAATACCATAAATTCATTTTACTCTGCAAATATTGTTGTTCTTGGTTGGCTTAAGATTAATTAACTTTGAAGCCAGTTTATAATATTATATTCGAAGATAAATGACAATCGTTACGAGCATCTCAATTCTCTGGATTTAAACGTTAACAGCCATGCTCTGAAGTCAGATATAACTGGAGTTATTAACTCGAACTAATCTTGTTTCCCAGACCACTTTGCCTGATATTATTTTACATGATTTTTATTTTGATGCTCATATAATAAATAATCTCTTGAGTGAAAGCAACATAACAAAGCTGTAGTGATTCAACATAGATAATAGTCTAGTTGAAAGAGTTTTATGTAGATGAATATAATTCAAAGTATTCTTCGTCGAGACCTAACAATCTCGAATTCAATCCCTTTGGTGATAGGGTCATGAATATACACTACTGAAGTATTCTGTACTAGAATGAACCATGCCCAGTTACTGTTGGTTTACAATAGTACATCAACTAAAACTAATCTATGACGAAATGTTTTCTGATGTTCTAGTTCAGAGACTATTTGTAAATTATATTTGGTGGTACTAAGGATAGGCAACTACCATTCAATGCATGCAACTTGATCATTCATTTGAAAAGTTTTATCAGTTAAAATTTATTAAAATTTATCATATTATATAAAATTATTTACACTACTTATTACTCTTACAGTAGATATTATTTGATAGTGTTGTTCCATTGAATTAATAGATGTAGTATGATGAATAATCCAATCGAATAATAATTTAGGATTGACAATTATTGAAGCAGGTATTGTGAAACTAATTAATTTATCTTTTTGCCATGTATTGATTAATTTGTGAAAATGCTTTGAAATTAACAA